GGTGTTTATAATCTGAAACTCATCTATTGTATCATGTTCTGGTGTTTTAATGGAGATAAATCATAAAACAAATATTTGATTATTTATTGGTCCACACTATATTTTAATTTTTATCATTACGGGCATGATTTGGATTTTTCTTAGAAATTTTGCTCAAATCACTGTAGATGTTATCATACATGCACATTATACTAAATTTATATTAAACTTTTGAACTGATCAAATAATAAAACATGACAAGTTGACAGTTATGCTTGAAATAACCAGTATTTCACAGAAAAATAATCACATTTAGTTTAAAGGTTTTCTTTATATTTCAATCAAATCATAGTACAATGAACAAAATAAGGGTGAAGGTTTGGTACCATTAAAACGTTTAAACCCGCTGCAATTGTTTGCACCTGTCCTAAGTCGGGAATCTGATGTTCAGTAGTTGTCGTTTGTTGATGTGGTTCATAAGTGTTTCTCGTTTCTCGTTTTTTATATAGATTAGACCGTTGGTTTTCCAGTTTGAATGGTTTTACACTAGTAATTTTTGGGACCCTTTATAGCTTGCTGTTCGGTGTGAGCCAAGGCTTCGTGTTGAAGACCGTACTTTGACCTATAATGGTTTACTTTTATAAATTGACTTGGATGGAGAGTTGTCTCCTTGGCACTCATACCACATCTTCTTTTATCAATGACATCCGGTTTCATATAAAAAAAAAGAGTAGAAAAAAATGCTTTCTTGAATTTGACAGTTATATTAAGCTAACCCTGCATTTCATTGAAGAAAGTTTTTTTAAGTCATAAACATATATCTTGGGAGTTTCAAAGCACCGTTTTATTTTTATTTAGTCTTTTTATAAAATGTTTTTGAAATTTGTGGTTACAATACATATTTAAATTACTTTTAAAAGCTTGTAAACAGGAATAAAAAATTTGAAAATTGATTTGTTAACTTCCACTCTTCCAGCATTTGTCCAGTGATGGTTATTTTTTTTTTTATATGCAATAAAATTTTATGTGAAACATGTTGACACAAATAAATTCTGCACACTTTTAAAAAAATGCCAAATTTAAGAAAGACTAATATCATGAATATAGGAAAACAATGGTGGTTTTTCTAGTAATAATACAATAGTAAAGTTAAATATATACATTTAAATTTTGACAATTTTCATTTTTGCCTTTAATCATTTATAGTTCTTTATAGATTGGAAATTTGCACTTTATGTTGTTTTTATGCAATTATTAATGAACTGTTAAGCCAATGCTCTTTATCATGTTTATAAATTTTGATAAGCTCTTACAATGGTTACTGCATTACAAAATGGTGATTAATTTAAGTATTTGTAATATTTATTTTTTCTGTTTGGGAGTTATGGTCCTTTATAAATTTGAAAATAGGCATAGAATGTTGAAGGTCAAAAACGCCTGAAAACGCGATTTAAGATATACAAAAAACCCAATTTGATGTCAATTTAATTTTACAGCTTATTCCGTGTTGCCTTTTAATGTATTATCTTAAAATTTGTCATAAATGTACAAAATGTAGATAGATAAAAACTTTAATAAGGTAAAGTGATGAGCAGGACAAGTTTAAAAATAATTCAAATATCATAAAGATTGCTGAAATTTTTTGTCAACTTTTTATAGGAATATTGCCATGGTGATTTTTCCCATATATATGCATTTTTGGGGAAACTTTGGGGGATTAAAAAAATGTAAACAGCAAAAAATATCAGCAAGACAATTAAAAATAATTTTTAAGCCCCATTTATGGGCATTATGTTTTGTGGACTGTGCGTCCGTTCGTTCGTCCGTCCGTCTGTCCCGCTTCAGGTTAAAGTTTTTGGTCAAGGTAGTTTTTGATGAAGTTGAAGTCCAGTCAACTTGAAAATTAGGACACATGTTTCCTATGCTATGATCTTTCTAATTTAAATGCCAAATTAGAGTTTTGACCCAAATTTCACGGTCCACTGAACATAGAAAATGATAGTGCGAGTGGGGCATCCGTGTCAGACCTGGGGTCAATTACATGCCCAAGTAATAAATTACATTCGAATTATATTGATTTTTAAATGTAATTAATTACATCACAATAACATATGATTTTCAAATGTAATTAATTACATTACAATTACATTGCCAATGTAATTAATTACATTTCAATTACTTTTATCCAAAGGCATGTAAGAGTTATGTTATTTAGAATAAAATAATGAAAATGAAAACAGGCTCGAATAGAATGAACTTATAACATGTACAAATAGATATAAGAAGATGTGGTATGAGTGCCAATGAGACAACTCTCCATCCAAGTCAAAATTTATAAATGTAAACCATTATAGGTCAAATGTATATATACATATACAATGTATACTGGTGCGTTCACTTTTTAACAATAAAAACATTTGAACAAGATTTGTTTAGAAAAAAAAAATTTTAAATTCCTAACATCATTGTTACATTTAATCATCATTAGATTTATTATTTTTATATGAAAACAATTGATAAATATTTAATTATAAATATATAAAAATATTTTGTATTATTATGAATTTTTTTTAAAAGTTTCTACTAAAAACTTTATTTTATATTTTATATGTTTAAGGTTTTCTGATGAACCTCATGTGATATTGTAAGTAACTTTAAATTGCATTTATTACATAAGAGTAATGGTAGCATTTTCAAGACTTGTTTTATAACAAGTCAAAATTATTGGACTCCAATTTTGTATGTATTGACTGTTGTATTTTAAAATTTTGTAGAAATTTAAGGCCACACCAAATTAATGTCTAGTTCTTCGGACTCTTTCCTTTGAAAATGGGTAGCGAGAGAGCGAAATTTTTTTATTTGTTTTTTTTTTTCTGAAATTGGATCTTTGGCAGGCGAAGGAATTTTTTACAAGCGATCGGTATTATTTTTGAAAAGTTTTTTAAAAAAAATCTATGAAAGGAATTTTAAGCAAGCGAGCGATTAGAAATTTACATAGTTTCGGTGCTTGATATTTTATATATCTCATATCCTAGTTCTTATATTACCCTACTTTGCTTCTCTATTTGTTCTCTAACATCCAGTTTAATCTTTTCAAAACATTTCCAAGTATAAAATGGTTAACTTGTAGCAAAACCTACAACTTTGTGTAGTCTGATAAAAAAAATATGAATCTTTGATCCTGCTGAACATGTAAAAGTGCAACATCTTTGATCAGGCATGCATCCATGTTTAATGTAAATTATGATTGATGCATGGTATATTGCTATAGATAACGTATGCAAAGCATAAATGCATGTATAAAGCTTGCATATACAACCAAAAATATTTCTGTATATAACCAGCTGAAAATTAACAAAGGACTGTCCTTCAAACCCACACAAATTTATACCATTCAAATGAACCCATCAGATGTTATATGCTAACTAAACAAAAGGAACATTTCAATACATTCCACTTTAGTCATTGCTTTCCTGTAGAATTTAATGATAATCAAATTTATATACCGGGTATATATACATGAATATATGCATGTGGACATTGCTCTGTGTTGAAAGCCATACCTTGAACTAGTTGCAAACCTCAACAAATTTGTTTTTCTGGTTGAAGATTGTCTCATTGACAATCATACAAATTCTTTTGTAAACTGTAAAGACGGATTAATGTGTTAAATTCAATTACCACATAAACATTCTTGTCAAACTCCATGCTTTTAACTAGTATACATTATTGTTTAGGGGTCAGCTGTAGCCAGCCTCTGGGTGCTGGATTTTCCCTCTGTGTTGAAGACCAATTGGTGGCCTTGGGCTGTGTTCTGCTCTTTGTTCAGGTTGTGGTCTCTTTGACACATTCCCCTTTCCATTTTCAGTTTTATTTTAATATAACTTTGTAATGATACTAGCAAATATAAATAAATTTAATTTTTTTTAAGGAAAACCCTTTATTCTAAAAAATAATAATCAATATAATAGTTTCAATTGAGGTGCCATTTCAATTCATGAACCATCAGCTTTGGGATTCTCTTTTATTCTTATGCATGTTATATTGTCACAATTTAAATCTTTAAATTCGGTGACGTCGTTGCTTTGTCGTTTGATCTTGATAGGTATACAGTGAATCATTCAAGGATATTACTTCACCAAGCGCGAGTCAAGTAATTCACTTAGTGGGACACCCCTTACAATATGTACAATATCACTGAAAGTTTTAGCTGGTTCTTCTGCTGTTTGAATCTTGGTGCAAATATCCAGTGGTAGTAGGTTCCAATCTTTAATTGTATTGGTATGAAGCAGAATTTTAATGTGTGTGGTTTTGTTTGCAGTCGTAGAAAAGTTTGGCCATATAAATGCATGTTTTTTGGTTTTCCTAGATGTTTTTTTCTCGGTTGAGTTGATCAGATCATCATTAACAGGTGGTAAGTTGGCTTGGCCGTGTATGCCTTTGAAGAAGAGGATAAATCTGTTTTGGGTTTAACGATCTTTTAGGGATGGTAGTTGCAGCTGGTCATAAATTTCCTGGGTCGTAATAATTTGTAGTTTGATGTTTTTGCACGGAGCACTTCCAACAAATCGGTAAAAGAATTGCCCAAATCATATTCTACTGATGTGTTTGCCTGCGCTACCACTGTAACTACAAATATTCCACTCATGTCTTACGTTAAAAATGATTATCATTCTAAATTTGGCAGATGAAATTGTAACAACAACGTTGTGAATGTTAGATCTAGATCGTTTTTAATGTCAATTTCCATGTCTGTATGGCGTTACTTTCAAACGTACAACTGATCAAAATTTTTGTTTCCTAAATTTAGAGACGGACGCGCGCGCTCCGCACCGGACGCGGGTTTAAAAAAAAATGTTTTTTTTCTGGTCGACCTTTCACAACACGCGGGAAATCCAACGAACGAGGTATTAATTTGGCGTGGCCTAAAATGATATCCATCTGTACAGATTTTAACATATAAGTATTACCTTAACTTCTTTCCCATAAATACATAGGCTTAAATAAAACAAATCAATATATTCATATTGCCGATAACCCAGACAGCTTGAAGGACACCGGATTTTAATAAATTGACAAATACAATTCATAAGCATAAATACATAAATAAATCATTACAATTATAAATGATGACTGAATGCTGATATGCTGTATTTTAAAATTTAATACCAAATAATGACAAAGTCTCTATCATCGACGATCCCGCCGGCCAGGAACAACCAACTAAAACGAGTTTACTCGGTCAAACTACATTAAATACTAAATATGTAGTGGAAAAAAGTTGGAAACCTGTGTCCAAACCCAATGCTCGGAAGACCGTCTCAAGAGGTATACTTGGACAGTATACAAAAAATGAGATATATATAATAACAACTAATCATGAGCAAAATATGAATTAGAACTAAAAATGATACATATCTGAAATATGTAAAAAGAAACTTGACACTAAGACTGTTGGGTAGAAAGTGAAGGCTTTCAAAATATTTTCCCGCACGAAAAAATTTGCACGTGACTAAATTATAAAATTCATACGCATCGTTAATACAAATGTTTCCCGCTATTCTTTGAAAGGCGCGAAAATGTAAATATTACCTTAACTTCTTTCCCATAAATATATAGGCTTAAATAAAACAAAACAATATATTCATATTGCCGATAACCCAGACAGCTAGAAAACATACAAAGAAAGGGTTGATATATGAGTAGAAGCGTCTATAATCCAAGACTCTGAGATACAGAAAGCCTCTTTTCTAAAGTGTCAGCAATATAACCGTCTTTGCTAGTGTCAGACTTCCATCTGCCATGCCTTTTAATGCATCGTTCATTAACTTCTGAACTAGCAGCAGCGGTCGCCCCACCAGTACGCAAGGAATGTAAACCTAAATTCAATGAAGGTGCGACTAATTTCAGTCTTTTCAATATATTTTCTCTAGCTGCTGTGTAACTTATTTTCTTATTTTTGTAAATAAGTTTAGCTATACATTTATGCCTAAATATAGGTCGAAATATATAAAAATCTGAATTCAGGTTCAATTCAGCCAAATTAATATAATTCTTGAAAATACTGACTGGACATGCTATAGTTTTCCCTTTTGCAATCAAAATTTCATTACCCTGTCTATACTGATCCGTTTTGCGATGAGAAATAAATAATTTCAAAAATTCATCATACAAAGTAACGTCTTTACATTTTAAAGAACTAAGCTCGTCGAAACGGAGAAATCCTGCAAAACTTAACACTATCATAGCTAAATCTCTTACAATTAATAAATCATTATAATCTTTGAATTTTGTACATAGTTCATTAATCATGTCGATACTAACAGGATCTTTCTTGTTGACATGTTTTCCGTTTAACCTTTTAGCCGATTCTTGTAGTGATTTAACGAACGAACTATCAGTAGGGTCAGCAAAACCATTCAGCTCATGTACCCATTTTAAAGAATAAATAGCACCATTAATAACATTTGGAGAACAGTTTTTGTCTATCAAATTAGTTATGTACAATGCGACGTGAATAGGATCGGCCGGTAAATTATTAAAACCATGTTCTTTGATAAATGTACTCCATCTATTGAAACTGAAAAAGTACGTCTTGTTCGTATTGTTACTTCTTGAGTCGAGGAGAAATGAAGACATCTTCCCGGTTAAATCATAAAGAATATGGTCATTAGAAACTCCACTCTCCTCCACAGCTGCTCCAACATTCTGCCTCAATCTTATTCCTGCAAAATAGAATTACTAAATCAAAACACTAGCCTCAAAGCTATCATTCTGAATTTTAGCAACCCTGTCTTGAAAACACCATTTTCCCTGCCCCCTTAACAATACAATTATTCTGAGGTAAATAATAAATATTTCTCATGAAATCAAAAAATTCACCATTTCTATGTAAAATAGGCCAATAAGGCGCAGAAGTCCACTCAGGAACGATCAGTGTTCCTTTTGCTTTGTCTTGTTTTAATTTATTGAGAGTTTTAGTAACTAAGATAGGTGGTGGTACAAGCCAGTTTACATCATTCCCCCAAAACTGAGTGAAAGCGTCTACAGCTTCTGTCCCTAGACACCATACTTTTGAATTAAATCTCTTACACTGAGAGTTATAGTGTGTTGCAAATCTGTCTACCGTACATTTGTCCCATAAATTGCACAAATAATGATAAATCGACGATTCTATGCCCCAATCGTCATGATCCATTACTCTACTCAAATGATCTGCATCATTATTTTCAGCTCAAGGTATCCAATTAGGTGTTAAGTTAATCTTTTGTACTTTGCAAAAATCAAGAATAGAAGTAGAAATTAATTGTAATTCAATTTCTTGCTACGTACTTTTAAAATATGCTCAACATTCTTGTTATCTGAATGAATTCTAATTTGTTTGTTTTCAGTGACATTTTTAAATGTATTTAATACCCTTCTTACACATTCTAACTCTCTCCATGTAGAACTTTCACCCATCTCGGATTCGGTCCAATTACCAAATGTTTCAAAATTCTCAAAATGAGACTCAGCAAATGGTGTAATATAACCACCAAAGCAAAGCCCACATCTGAGGCGTCACAAAAAATTTCACATTCAAACAAAGTATTGACTGTTACCGTGCTTATCTTAGCACGTACTGTATTTATATTTCTACAGTGAAGATTCCAATACATCAATTCATTTAAAGCTTCATGCGTTATTTTCACACAAGCTTGCCAACTGGCTTTTGACATAACACAATCATAAAGAAATCTAGTATTTCTACGTACATCATTGCCAAAAACGGCGTGCATGGAAATAAGCTGACCTATAATACTGGCTATAAATCTAGCTCTAAATAAAATTTTTCCGTTAGTCACTTGAAACAAAACAAAATTCAAATATTTTTCAAGTTTCTCTATCCTTTCTTCCTTGACAAATATGTTACCATTTTTGGTATCCCATGTGAAACCGAGCCAATCTAATTTGTGACAAGAAAACTAGTGCGATTTTCATGTGCTATTAAAAATCCCAAATCTTCTAATTGAAGTTAACTTGTTTACTACACTGTTAAGCAGTGGCAAAATCTTTTTCGCCCGCCAAACCGTCGTCTAAAAACATAATAATTCTCTTGCCTTGAGATCTAAAATCTTTAACAACTTCTCGCAATACTTTCGAAAAGATATATCCTGCAGTTGAAATTCCAAAGAACAGAACAGCAAACACAAAATATTTAAATGTATCATCAAAAAGCCATGATAACCCTAAATACTGTTGATGCTCTTTAAATATTTCGATATGATGATATGCTGATTTTAAATCATAACTAAAAATAAAATCATTTCCATTGAACAATTCTCTAGCCACTTTACAATCTTCGTATTTAAACTTGTATTTAAATAAGTGTGGGTTTCCGTGACGGCAGTCAAGGACGAGTCTAGGTTTACTCGATTTGTTGAAAGCTACCGTAAGAGGGTTAACGACTAAGGGTTTAGTGCTTACTTCTTTAATACAGCCTTTTTTCAACAGGTTTACAATTTCGGATGAAACAAAATCTTTGTTGTCTAATGAAGATTTGTTATTTCTAATATGTATACGGTCAGGTTCTCTTTTAAACGGTATTTTGTAACCGTTCTCGATTACGTCAAGAATGTATTGATTATCAGTTATCAATTTCCATTTATCTAACCTGATCTTTAATCTACCTACAGGTGTGCCAGGTAAGTATAAAACAGTTTCAGGTGAGAACTGTTCAGTCGTTACATTCTTGTTTTGTGATTCGTTTTTGCTCATTATTGAGACAGAAGGTAAAATAGTATATGTATGTTCAAAACGAATATTTTTTATCTTTGTTTCAGATGATAACAAATCGTTATTTAAAGGTAATAAATTGATTGTACTTATCTTTGACTTTTTATTTTCTGGACAATTGTCACTCCAATGACCTCTCTTTCCACAAGTGAAACATCTACCAGGCTTGAAGGTTGAGTTCTTGTCCTCAGAGCTCCTATCTTTGTTATATGGAACTGGTCTTGTGCGCTTTTTTGCCTTTTCCACTTTAGACTTTCTTTAAGCTCTAGATTGGGCTCTATTCATACGTTTCTCGTCCCCAGAATCGTCTGCTATAGGATTAGTAACGCATTCTTGCACTACACGCCATCCTAACTCGGAAGAATCCGCTAACTTAATCAACTTTTGGCGCTCTTGAACTAAGTCTATACCTTCTGATATCTTGTCCTTTGCCGCGGTTACTTTGGGAATGCTGACATCAGGAGTATCAAGCAAAGAACGGGCCTCAGTTAACTTGGAAATAACTTTCACACTGTGCCGAAACTGATTTTCGTTCCCTTTTCTTTGAAACTTATAATTGTCTGATACACTTTCCTCTATTTTGATGATTTGTGCGTTGGAAATATCAAACTGAGATTGTTGAATATTGGATTGTAAACGGTTTAATCTGGATTCCATCATTGCGCTCCTATTGTTTAGCATGTCCTGCTGAGAACTAGCGATGACATTTTTTACCTCGTTTGCAATGGCTTCTTGAATCGGAGAATCTAACCCGGTGTCCATCTTGACACTACGACTGTTGGGTAGAAAGTGAAGGCTTTCAAAATATTTTCCCGCACGAAAATGTAATTATAATGGTTAAAAAAGCAATGCCTTTGGCATTTCAATCAAGGGACAAATCTGTACTTAATAATTAGTTAAGTGAAAGGAATAACCTGAGGCTAAGATTATTGTTCATTGTTAGAACAACAAATTTACAAATTGTATTTATTAAATTGGTATTGTTTATAATTTTAAGATTTTTTATATAAAAATGTAAACATTAGTGAATTGAATACAAATAAAGATTAATATACATGCTATAATGATTAATAAAACATCTTGAGGAATGTTAAAGTTTTTCATCATGATAAATGTTTAAAAATTATTAAGAAAAATAAAAGTAGCAAGTGCAAACTAAATGAAGTGAAATAAAATACAAGTTGCACCAGAAGAGCCAAAATGTTTTAAATTTCCATTTTATGCAATTATTTGAATGTAATTCAAAGTAATTGAAAAGTAATTCATAATAACATGGCAAAAAGGTAATGTAATTCATTACTTTCAATTACATGTAATTGAAAATATGTTCAATTACACATTACATTGCATTACATTCAAAATTGTAATTAATTACAGCTAATTACAATTACATTTTTCATTACCCCAGGTCTGAATTCCGTGTACTATGGTCTCATTCTTGTTTAGTCATGAATTACATTTTAGATTTATACTATGTAATGAATATTGGAGAGTGGACATTCATTTGCCTTTGTTGAAGGTGCAAATTTATGTATCTTGGTGTGTGACACAGGCTGTTAAGAGCCCCTAATCAATCCCCTACCAACAAAGTGGGAGGGGACTTTAGGTTTGCACTCAATCTGTCTGTCCATTCATCAGTTCTGCAAATCAGTTTTCCACACTTTTTTTTTGTCATTCTTGGAGATATTGATTTGATATTTGGTGTTTTATTTTATCTTGGCAAGTTACAATTTTTTTTTTAAAGTCGCAGAATTACATGTTTAATTCTTCAAATCTTATTTTTTTGCCCAAAAATATAATATAAATTCAAATCATATAATCAATTCTAAGTTCCTTGACTACAGTTATTCTGTGTCAGAAACCTATTATGTGTCAAACATTTAATTACAATCCAAATTCAAACCTGTATCAAGCGCGAATATTGTGTCCATGTTTGCCCCATCTGTTCAGGGTTGGACCTCTCCGGTCGTATCCAGCTGCGTTCGGCGAAGCAATTTATTATCAAATGCATTGTTACAAACACAAGCGAAACGAAGAAGTTGTTATATAAATACCATCATATATATTTTAAGTTGGCGAACATGCGTTATGTTTAGAAAGTAAGCAAACAGTGGTACTGTTTAGAATGTTTCCAAAGTTGAAGAATTTGAATAACAGGGGTACTATCTAGATTGTTTTAAGAAGTTTGTGAACATGGGCACTGTTAAGAATGTTGGCGAACATAGGTACTGTTCAGAACGTTGGCAAACAGGGGTACTGTTCAGAATGTTGGCGACGTTGGCGAACAGGGGTACTGTTCAGAACGTTGGCGACGATGGCGACGTTGGCGAACAGGGGTACTGTTCAGAATGTTGGCGACGTTTGCGAACAGAAGTACTGTTCAGAATGTTGGCGATGTATGCGAACAGGAGTACTGTTCAGAATATTGGCGACGTTGGCGACGTTGGCGAACAGGGGTACTGTTCAGAATGTTGGCGAAAAGTATCCTATTCAGAATGTTGGCGACGTTGGCGAACAGGGGTACTGTTCAGAATGTTGGCGACGTTGGCGACAAGGTTGGCGGGTTGGCAAACATCTCAACAATCCTGTACCAGCCTGCAGAGTTCATTTGACGTGGATGTGTGCAATTATAGGGTTACCGTTCGGTTTTCAATAATGAGCAACATCCATACCGTATAGTCAGATATATGAAAGACCCAGACATGAATAGTAAGAAACAATTCAAAAAAGATAACTTGCAGACTAATTTATGACAAAATAAATTACGAAACCAAATCTGACAGACATGAACCAACGACCACCTCTATATTATTAACTCCTAACTTGGAACGGGCAGATATTCACTTTTGTTCTCGTACTAGGAACAACAAAACTATTTATTTTGTAAAAATTATTTCCGTACTCCATATATACCTTACAACAAAATTATTTTTATTTACCTGTGTACGTTATTTTATTTGGCGGCATTTAGTCCAAGGTTATGGTTGTCTTTCTGATATTGTTAAACATCTAACCCCCTTGTTTTATTAAATTTGTATTTACATTGTGTCATAGATCAAATTTATTCGTTCAGTGTATGTTCACTTGTTTTTGTAAATAGTCTTTTGATTGAGTTAAGCCATTTCAATTGATATTTTATAGTGTATCTTTTTATGTTGTGATGTTACACTATTGTTTCAGGTAGATTGAAGGTTGGCGTCTATTAAAACGTTCAAACCCGCTGCATTTGTTTGCACCTGTCCTAAGTCAGGAACCTGATGTTCAGTGGTTGTCGTGGTTCATAAGTGTTTCTTGTTTTTTATATAGATTTGACCGTTGGCTTTCCTGTTTGAATGGTTTTACACTAGTCATTTTTGGGGCCCTTAATAGCTTGCTGTTCGTTGTGAGCCAAGGCTCCGTGTTGAAGGCCGTACTTTGACCTATAATGGTTTACTTTTACAAATTGTGACTTGGATGGAGAGTTGTCTCATTGGCACTCATACCACATCTTCTTATATCTACATAAACAATGTAGTGGCATTAAACATGTTACTGAGCGCTCGACTCTCCCCTGACCGGGGACAGTTGTATACATAGGTATGAGAATAAACTGTAAAATGAGTGCACACGCTGAAATGTCTCGCCTACTTTACTTTTTATGATTAAATTTATGTTGAGAGTGTGTAATATGAAAATTTCACTACAAGTATCATTTAAACATAATATTATCAATGATCAATTTAAATGAGGTCAAATTCATATGAACCCTGAAAGACAGACGTTTACACCTTACAATCATTCCATACACCAAATATAGTTGATCTATTGCTTATAATACATATATCTGATAAACGGACAAAACCATGATAAATCAACATTGACTAATGAACAATGGAAATGAGGTTAAGATCAGATGAACCCTGCCAGATAGACATATACACCATACTATCGTTCCATACTATCGTTCCATACACCAAACATAGTTGACCTATTGCTTATTATATCTAAGAAATGGCAAAACCATGAAAACTTAACATTGTCCAATGAAGCATGAAAATTAGATAAAGCCAGATGAAACCAGTCAGACAGACAGCTACATCTTACAATCGTTCCATGCACCAAGTATAATCACACTATTGCTTATAGTATCTGACAAATAGACCAAATCAGAAAATAATAACATTTTCCAACGATCCATGAAAATGAGGTCAAGGTCAGATGAAACCTGCCAGTCGGATATATACACATTAGGATTATTCCATATCCGTAATGCAGTTGACCTATAATTGCTTACAGTATCTGAGATCAATAAAAAGTGATTACTTTACATGACAAAAAACAATTATTTTTTATTTCAAACAGTCGCTGAACCACGGAAATGAGGATACTAGTAATTGGCATATGACAGACAAACACTTCGTAACATAAGGCATCTGCATACAAGATATGAAGCATCTAGGTCTTCTAACTTCTGAAATATAATGCTCTATACAAATAGTTTACGCCATAACCACCGCAGCTGCAGCCGGATAGTAATCCCTATGTCTCGCATTCTGTGACTTTTGTCGCAAGCGAGACACAAATCAGTTGTAAATGGATCATCTCAATAGAACAGTATAAAGCACAAAAACAATTAACATAAAAACAATACACACAAAGCATCGAGACAAGAGTACTCGCAGTTACTGAAAGCTTGTTCAAAGCCAATTAAAACAAATAAACAAAATCATGTTCTCCCAGACTAAAGTATCAGTCAATACACATCCAATGGGTTCATTATAAAGACGTCATAAACTATCTGAGAAACCGTCATTCATAACCTTATGCAGTGTCAAACACAAGTTAATAATACTGGCATGATGTAGGATCATAAGTATTCATAACTGTATAGCGATATATATTAAGTTACGGTTTTTTTTTCAAATACAAAATCAATGTAAGTCCGGATAAAACAATATTTAAAGATTTCACTATGGTGTTAATTCAAAGGATCAATGGGTTAACATGAATTGTATATTAATCTAAAGTCTTTATAAACAATATCACTTAAAAGTTATGATCCTACAGATACAGCTAAACTTCCCAATCAAAATCTTTGTATCTTTGAAAGAATTTTGATTTTTGTTTTTATTAATTTGTGGTATGAGTAACTTAACTACTTACCTACCGTTATACATATATTACGTTCATTGAAAAAAAAATGTCACTACAGACACGAGCAAGTTGTCAAATATACACACCGTAAGAAGAAACAAATAACCATCACAGTCCTAAAAGGGAAAATTAACTACAGGGAATGAAAAATCGTCTCTTTCATCATAAATTTTCTATAGAGTTACCCGTAGGAAACTGAAATATCAAAAATTAGAAAAGGACAGTTATTGCTATTTGCTTAGTTTCTCTTGTGTAATTTTTATTTATCTATTTTTGTCACAGTTTTCAGGTTGTATGTACACATTAAAGTTAAGCTTATCGGAGCACTGTAGATTGTTTTCTATTATTTTATTTTTAAGTATTTCCGTAGACACCTTGTATGTTTTAAGTACACCTTTCAGTTAATGTTACTCTAAGAAAACAATTTGTTTTAATTCGAGATAGCTATACAGTTATTTCTTAGTTTAAATTTCTAAACTTACGGTCTCCTCTATAATACATAACAACTCTATGTATGTATGTAATCTCCACCATGCTGTTGTCACACTGCTAGAGGTTGGACAAAAGCATGGTGGAGACTGGATCTTGGGTATTCAGCATACATACATAGAGTTGTTATGTATTACGGTCTCCTCTATAATACATAACAACTCTATGTATGTATGCTGAATACCCAAGATCCAGTCTCCACCATGCTTTTGTCCAACCTCTAGCAGTGTGACAACAGCTTCCCGCAGTAAAAACTTGATTTGTATTTCCATCAATTACTTTCCATGCACCATAAATATTATCAGCACCCTTGTAAACACTACTTTGAATCGCTGAACCATTGGCGGCCAAATTAGCTACAAAAACAATTAATACCAAATTCGAAAATTTAATGATAATACAGTCTTGAAATTTTGAATCATCTGGGGCTTATAACAATTATAACCAGTATTTACAGTGTTTTATTTTTAGTTTTGCAGTGCAAAATCAAAGAGGTTTTTTTTTTTTATTATATGTCGGATTTTTTATATGTCGGATTGATTATGTGGAGCATACTGCTAGTTTCCTTAACAATTTATAATCTACGTCTTTAGGAAAAGTTCGTTGGAAATTTCAAATTAAGGTAGATATTTGGAATGACACATTTAATAAACATTTGCGATGTAAGAACATGAATAATCATCAATTTTCACGGTAGGTATAGTGTCCGGCGGGGATCGTGTTTTTTCGAGTGAATCGGTCCACTTTTTTCGAGTGTATTTACATGCGATTAGATCAATTTACTGCTATTTCGCGTATATAATAGTTGTATTCATGAAAGTTCATCTTATTCTAAATACTAAGCATGTTTTGAGCACAAACGACGCACAATTTCCTTGTAGTTCACTAATTATTATAATTCAGTGTTTTACATTGTCCAACATTTAAAACGTCCGGGTTTTAAGGCATTCTTGGACTTAAAAACTAACTTCTTCTATTTTGTTACTGTAATTTTGCGAAGGGCAATATTATATATTCCTAATAAGTAACAAAAATAATTAAGAAACCAAAGGGACAGACGTTATAAATTCAGTAAAATGCAATATACAATGAAATAAATAAGCTATAAGCTTTAATATGATCCTTATGATAATAAGAAAAATGAATACTATAGCGTACACATCGTGTATTTAATTCATGCCCTTCGCAGAGTTCCGTAGATATACATTGGTAATTATAATGTCTAGATAGAGATCCGTATTTTTTTTATTTTTTGAAGCACTGGAAACTGATGGAAAAGAAGCTATCATGGTGTTTTATTGCTGTGTGACCAAGTATAACATACGCTTGATCATACTCCTCATCACACTAAAGGCATTTGAAATAAAACAAATTATCATCAATACAAAATCAATAGTATAAAACATTTGAGATGTACTTTCTGTTAAAAAGGATACACATGCCCGCTACACACATAATATACGTACGTTTCAGTCAAACACTGTACTGCTTGATATTTTAGTCTGGGAAAACATGATTTATTTTTAGTTGTAAATGGCTTTGGACTAGCTTTCAGTAACCGCGAGTACTCTTATATCGATACGTTGTATCTATTGTTTGTTTGTTAGTTGGTTTGTTTTTGCTTCGTACTGATCTATTAAGTAAAGCCATTTGTAACTGATATTTACAGTTAGTTCTTATTGTGTGCTGTAACACCACTGTCCAAAGTTAGGGGAGGGTTTGGGGCTTACAAACATGTTTAACCCCGCCACAATCTTTATATGCCTGTCCCAAGTCAAGATCCTGTAATTCAGGGGTTGTCGTTGGTTCACGGTGACCTATATCTACTTTTATCTTCGTCATTTGAACTCTTGTGGATAGTTGTCTCATTGGCATTCATACCAAATCTCCTTTTCTTTATATATATTTCTGTGCTCATATTAGTATTGTTTACAACTCGAATATTTACTGTATGATATCTATATTTAATTGATTTGACATCGATCTACGTATGTTTGGATCGATACAACATGTGTACCTGGTACAAATATAGTCCCTAGTGTGGACAGTGTATAACTTGCAAATTTTTTTCATCCATCCAAATTTATTTCTTTATATTGTATGCATGAAATATTAAGTAAGGGGATGAAATTACATGTTAAAAAAATTTGGTTGCTGAATCTTTATGTTAAGTAGTGATTTGGTCCAGTTAAAAAAGGTCAAAAACTAGTATGTCTGAAGCTGTTAAACTGAATTTTAGACCCCCTTAACATAGCTGGTAGACTTTTCTATAATTTTGATATTATTTGTCCCAATAGTAGTACACTACACTGTAAAAATCTTTTTGATATAGAGCAGGTGCGATATTTTTAATTTGACTTTATTGTCTAAAAGAAATGCACTACGAAATAACTGTGTTCTCGGGCCACCTGGGCGTTGACTTGTTGGATAGTTCCACCATATTTACATGGGCTTGGACATTTTGACCTATCCAAATATACCAATGCCGCTGTCCATGCAAGTTATAAGATGTGGCAAACAATAATATATACAAATATACGATGCGTTTTACGATTGTACGTGTTACTTACTACAGTATTTGCACTGACATATAACATTTTAAGCCATTGTTATTTTGTTTAATCACTCGATCAAAACCTCGACAGCAATAAAAAAAAAACCCGGACTACTCTCGAAAGAACACGGACATATAAAAAAGAATTTATTTTTAAAATGTCTTCTGAATGCAATAACAAATTTTTTTGTAAAGTTTCTGTTTATCTAAAGATCTTTAGATTCCAAATATACATTTCCGTTGAAATTTGCACTCGAAAAATATGGTCACACTTGAAAAAACCCGATCTAATCACTAAAAAAAAACACGACCCAAGACGGACACTATACCTTCTGTGTGTTCATGTCACTGAACTGTTATGGAGTATACACAGCATGTAAAAAAAATTGTATTCAAACAGTACTTACGGAATGCTGAAGTACGACTGAACAAGACAGTAAGTACCAAAATGATGGTTTTAAAGTGCATCCTTAGCTGTTCCTGTAAATAATTTTAAAATATTAGATTGTTAATAGATTGATTGATTTTTAATGTCTAACACTTTAAATATTATGCAAATCATTTCTATTGTACAATGTAAACGTTATTAGCCAATATTATGAAGACATAAACGATTGAACATGCAATGAAATAACTCAAGATTTTTAACGAATCGGCGTTATTTGTGATGATCGCCTTTACATATAAAGGATATCACTGATGCAACATAATTTACAGTGTGTAATTGGTAAGAACTGCAATAAATGTCCGACGGGTAGGAATATCAAGTTCTGGCTAAACTGTTCCGTGTATTTATGTATTGTGATACCATTTTTATTCTTTTAGGTAGACTATCGGAAATATGTATAAAAATAAGAAGATGTAGTATGAATGCCAATGATACAACGCTCATCCATAGACAAATGACGTAGAAGGTTAGCAACTATAGGTCACCGTATGGCCTTCAACATGTTTGTTGAACGATTGGGAAGTTTAGATATTGGACAATATATTTTCTAAGCTATTGCGAAGTTTGATATTTTGACATTTTCATTTGAGCAAATCGTCTGCTTTGTTCATTATTTAGTTAACATGTGAAATCCAGTTCGGCCGGTAACTTCGTTAGGTAAAAGTAAACCTGCATACGCGTTATCCTGGAATACCGAACATGCTTTTTCTTAAGAATCCACCTCATTCTAAGCTAGAGACAAGCCGACCAGAAAAATAAAATACCATATTACGCGACCTATTGCTTACGTACTGAACTACCTACGAAGTTATCAAAATACAAGAAAGCATTCTTAATTTGCTACCTGTCTACTTGCCTTCATGCTGGCCTGATAACCAGTCGACTAAATTACCATTAAAACAAACTCGAACTAAATTTTATACTACAAGCAAAATTTCAAATTATGTATGCAACCTGTCGACCATTATACTGAAATACAATACTACAAGCTTCATTGTATTCATGCGGATCTCGACAAGTGGACGAATAAACCATAGCACAAGCTATTCTTACAACATGTCGAAACTATTACAATAAATCAAATACCACATTTGGACAGAACTGTTTGCCAATGTATTTTGTTTGATTTATTTGAAACAATTTCTAGTCATGGTAAAACGGTCCTCGTTTTTTATAAGAGTACTGGTATAAAACCCTATACAAAAACAACTGCAAAAACGTTTACATACTTTGGAAAGATTGTACGAGAGAAAATATATTTTTCTAATGTAGAGGCCTAGCGGGTTTTCTCTCTCAAAATATTTTATTTGTCATTTGAAAAGCAGGCACGATTTGTAAAACTTGTTTACTTGTGGTTGACGAGACTTTTATAAAATTTTGAACCTCAATCACAAATTTCGTCATTTGTTTTTGAAAAGCAAACTTGATTAACGAATTGTGACTGATAATTTCTGAACGTCGCAACAGTGCTTATTTGTTATTAGGGCGATAACTTAAAGTTTACATACGATTGCGTATGGAATGACATCGCTGTTTGGTTCATAACTGTATAGTGAGTACGACTTGGTGCATGGTCAAACATGATACTCATCATTATAACGTTTTCAGCCTTTTCTGGCATAAATTGTCGAAACTATCTATTAGAATTTAATATCAAAATGTATTGATCGTGTGTTTTTTATTCAGAAGATATCAAATTGAACCTAACAACGACTTCACATTTGTTTTTTTATTTGTACAAAAATCTAGTTTTTACTATCTTGATGTTTACATGCGTCTTCACTCCTAAAATCATTTCTAGCATCAATAAACCAGGGAAATAAGCTTTTATTAGCTATGCGCTTTCACTTCATTCGTTTCATTAACTCGAAACTACAACGAAAAAGTCGTCTGATATTTGAAACTATATTTTGTCAGATTTCAAGGTACATGCAATAGTAGAGGTTTTGCTTAAAACGTATCTTATGTAGGTCAATAAAGCGCCGAGTTTTCGCCTGAAAGACATGAATCAAACAGCCATGTTAAGCTGTATCTACATCCATTAAATGTTGAAAGCAGACCATATAAAAATAAGAAGATGTGGTAAGATTGCAAATTAGACAACTCTCCAGACAACTCATCAGATCGATGCAAAGCAGGAAAAACATCTAACAAAAACACAGACCGGACGTGGCAGGGTATTTATATATCCCCACAATAAAACAAGACACTAAGTACAGACCTGAGAGTATTCGCAGTTACTGACAGCTAGTCAAAGTCAATGACAACTAATGAAAAAATCATGCATCTGAGACTAAAATAAAATTATTAGAATAAAGAAAAGGAATTTTTCATTAAAGTAGTGTAATTGAAATTTATTCATTTATTCGTTGTATTCAACGAATGAAGTTTCTTCTAAACTCGACCTGGGAGGAAAAGGGTGGGGGTAACAATAAACACGAGGAATTAATTTTAATAAATTCTAAAGAGACGGTCCTTTTAAGAACAGCATGTCGACCAAAGAAGTTGATTTAAAATTTAATGTACAGGCAAAAATAATACGAAAAAACAGATGAGTTGTGTGAACATTATTAAAATGTCTTTGATACAACAAGACATATTTACATCTTGTGCGTTTCGCTATAGATTTACAGCATCTATTTATCTATAATTATTTATGCTCGTTGTATTTAGCACATCGATTACAATTACAAATACATACATGTCATATAAAACCTAAATAGACAAATACAAAACTTCTCCAGAAACAGACGCCGTAAGATAATGGGGGAATGGCACGTTATAGAAACAAGAAGATATGGTTTTATTGACAATGAGACACGTATTTCAAATGACCGAAGGTCAGAGATGTAACAACAATAGGTCACCATGTGGCCTTAAACCGTGAGCAGAATCCGTATCATATAGTAAGTTGTAAAAGGCTCCGGGTGAGATAACAAACGGTCTGATTCAGGCTAATTATCAACATATAATAAAATATAAAGTAAATCTTTGTCAAGTGTGTCGGACTCCCTCATAATTTTTCCATAAGGCCAAAAAAAAATATAGTCTTGTTACAAGTGAAAAAAAAACCATAAAACGTTTGTTTCGATAAGAATCTGTCAAATATATCACAATATTAAATCAAAATCATATTCAAAGAATTTCCCTTTTATACATTATCCTGAATAAACTCATAGATACCAGGATTGAAATTTTTGTATGCCAGACGCGCGTTTCGTCTACAAAAGACTCATCAGTGACGCTAGAAATAAAAAAAGCTAAAAAGGCCAAATAAAGTACGAAGTTGAAGAGCATTGAGGACCCAAAATTCCTAAAAGTTTTGCCAAATACATCTAAGGTAGGTTTTGTAAACAGTAAATATGACCATATCAATGATAATTTATGCCAACACAGAAAAATGCTTATTAATTTAAACAGCTAGAACAACTTGTTCGATTTATATGTGTACTACATTTTGATAATTAAAACATAAAATGTTAAACGGAAATTTGTAATGTAGAAAATTTTCTTCCCCGGTACGCCACGCGAACCAAAATATATAAACATGACAAATATGAAAAGTTAGTTCATATTTATTCAGGAACATATTTATTTTTCATATAAATAAGAAGATGTGGTATGAGTGCCAATGAGACAACTATCCATCCAAGTCACAATGTTCAGACTACTTATACCAATGGGAAGTACAAAAGAAAAAGGATTTTAAAAAGGAACAAGTAAAACCATAATATTGATTTGACTTTATGGTAAGTAAAATAATCATCCATTAAGAAAGGTAGGAATGCTCTTTATCGTCAAGCGTCAAATTTCTGTTTTTCGCTACCGTTTGCGTCAAATGAGCCTTAATTTTTTCTATCGTAATACGTCAAGTCTCATTATGAGCTACCATTAGCGACAAATGGAGTAAAATGTTTTTAACGTTATTTTAACAAATAGTTTACTGTCATTCGTCATGAAGGGAACCACATCCCTACCCTCTTTAAGACAGGCAAAACAGCTGATCTACAACGTAAACATCTACCTGCCACAATACATCATGTACTGTGTTACAACCCTAAATAAATCCAACGACGGAAGGCATTACTCAACTGTCGAAAGCTATGCTAGTCGACAGAGTGGTGTAGAGCGCTGGACACATTGCAGAAGGTATTGCAACGATGTAACAAAAGCAAGGGTTCAAAGCCTGTCGAGGGAAGAACAAAAATCTGCTAACGCTAATTTACAGATCTAACATTGCTAATTTCTAAAATATCAGAAGAAGTAAGAAGTATATATATAATTATATATATATATTTATATATAAACAAGTCTAAATTGAAAACAACGTTCAAACCTATGATTGCGTTGGATAAAAACCGCAATTTTTATACGTGTGCATGCAAAACAAATTTCTTGGTAGAGGGGTCTAAATACAGCACAAACAACATTTTCCAAAAGACCAAATGAGTGAAAAAGTATATTTTAACAAAATACATTTGACTAGCAGGTCGAACAACTGATGTTCTTAAACCCTGCTGACTGCCATTGATATATATATATATATGAGAGAGAGAGAGAGAGAGAGAGAGAGAGAGAGAGAGAGAGATAAAGGAGGAGAAATGAATGAAATCTGCATGTAACAATTTTTTCTATTCATATCATAAAAACAAGATCATAGAACTTACGTTTCAACACCTGTTGTAAACAAACCAATGGATGATTCTTCAAATCTTCTCAAGTCGTATGTCACTTTAGGATCCAAACCTTAACAAAACTTTAATCATTTTACCCAGTTTTGCAGATGTCGCACAAAGTTCGAAAATTCGCCTACATTTGAAACAAGGAAGAACGTAAACACTGTAGAGAGGGTCTGTTTTCCAATGCTATCATGTTTACATCAAGTTTAAGAACAGGAAAATTATATAATATTTAAGCATCGTTTAAAATGTCTACTTTAGTCGTATTACATGGAAATGATAAGATCTTTAAATTTCTATATTTGATAATTCTCTACTTCCTTCTGCATGTTTTAATCGAGATTTGTTTTTACTTTATTTATTTTTCTATGCTAACAACAAGAAAAGTTTACATTAACCTATAGATTCTCCTCTGATATTTAACAAATAATAGACGATTCTCGGTTACATAGGGTTGTTGTTTACTCACAAAATTCTATGGAAACCATTAACAAGTAATGCTGTCATGTCAGGGCCGTACATTGCTGACTAAACGGTATTACTTTTTGCTCATTGTTGAAGGGCGTCATTGACCTATAGTTGTTTTCATCTACGTCATTTGGTCTCTGTTGGATAGTTGTCTCGTTGGTGATCATACCTCATTTTTTTTAATTTTACATAGTATTTTGATTTAAATGGTGGGTAATGTTAAATCCTATTTATATGTGAATGAAACTTTGAATAAAAGACGGCGATCTTTGTTTCTTTACACATATATTTGGTCTCATATGATGAATTAATTAAGCACCTCTTGGTCACACACTATGAATGTTTGACATCATGTCAAGAAGTACAACTATGAATATAGATTAAGTACAGATTAAGTATTTTATAATGTTTAGAGTTAAATCTTAAATAACTATGATACTTGACAGGCATTTATTTACATAAGTTATTTGTTTTATTCTTTTTTTAAAGACAACTCGTTTTAAAAAAATGTTAAAGCACATATTGTAGGGCATTATATATATACAAGTTTATTGTTTTCTGTTTGGTATTAATTTAATAGTTAAGATACATTTTGTTACATCTGGTGAACCGTTTATTTGACAATCGCCATGGCAGTCAGCAGTGTTTAAAAACATCCGTTGTTCGACCTGCTAGTCAAATGCGTTTTGTTAAAATATACTTTTTCACTTTTTTGGTCTTTTGGAAAATGTTGTTTGTGCTGTATTGAGACCCCTCTACCAAGAAATTTGTTTTGCATGCACACGTATAAAAATTGCGGTTTTTATCCAACGCAATCATAGGTTTGAACGTTGTTTTCAATTTAGACTTGTTTATATTTTTTCGTTTGGGCTTGTATTATATTTGCCTTCGGGTTTATATGATCCGTTCATCCTATTTCGACTCTGCAAAATTCAAGAGTCTATCCTAAATTGAGGTAAAATATTTGGCCTTCCAAATACCGTTTCGATTCCTAACATCACTGAAGAGACATTAATTGTCGAAATCCGGATATGGCCAGTGTACTAATTTTTGCACCTATTGTTTGCGGTATACCATCTTTTCCGAAAGTTTATTGTTTTCTGTTTGGTTTTTAATAAATAATTAAAATCCATGTTACATCTGGTGATCCGTTTATTTGGCAATCGCCATGGCAGTCAGCAGTGTTTAAGAACTTCCGTTGTTCGACCTGCTAGTCAAATGCGTTTTGTTAAAATATACTTTTTCACTTTTTTGGTCTTTTGGAAAATGTTGTTTGTGCTGTATTTAGACCCCCCTACCAAGAAATTTGTTTTGCATGCACACGTATAAAAATAGCGGTTTTTATCCAACGCAATCATAGGTTTGAACGTTGTTTTCAATTTAGACTTGTATATATATATATATATATATATATATGTGTGTGTGTGTGTGTGTGTGTGTGTGTGTGTGTGTTCTGGTACACGTATGTCAATGAGGACATGTGTAAGTATACACACCAGTAAGTGAGGACTTCACTCACAACTAAGGACGTCCTCAGATGTAAATTGTATGATTATCGCTAAATTGCTTTATTTTTCAATCAAACATAAAATAAAAAGAAAAAATAAGCAAGTCTCACTCGCCGTCTATTATGAGGAAGTGTGAACTATGTGTGTACATCGATATTATTAAACGCCATTTTTGTGGTCGTGCTATAACACAATATCACCAGTGCGCATGCTTCAAAATCGGAACAAGATGGCGGCGTCTGGAGGAGCAAGGTACTTGTTTTTTTCAACATTTTATCACGTTTTACTTTTCATTACCATTCATGTTTTTTATTTAGGAAGGGCAATGCCTCTAAAATTTAGCATGAGCTGCCGATCGACCATAACTACAGTCCCAGGCAGGGGCGGATGATGGATTCAGCTTTTTTCAAAGGGGCGTAATTCCATGAATTGCCTATAAAATTGGTAGATTTTCACGCCGAGTGGAGTGATTCAAAACAAATTTGGACGATTTTATGACATTTTATGCAAAAAATGATACTGTTTCAGATCAAAAGAGGGGAGGGGAGTATGCCCTCTACCAGAGTTGGTAAATTTACCAGCCTGCCCGAGGATGCACGGCTGGTAACTTTCAAACAGGGCTTGCTATTTTTTCCCAAATTTGTATAGCTATATAAATAGCAGAAATTTTTGTTCAGGATTGGCTTGAAATATGAATGAATTTGCTACCCTTACATAATTTCCCATTCTCAACTCTAGAAGTATGAAAGCGATTTAATGAAAATATGTGGTCAGTCACTGTGGCTCTTTTATTTCAAGAATGCATGGACATCAATAGCCTTCTATTTCCATTTTAATAGTAAAAAGGATTTGTCTGATCACGGAGTATGACCAGTGTTTGATCTATGTTTGAGAAAAGTTTTTTTCATTCAAAGTCCACGATGGATGATTACAATGATAAACTAGAGGCTCTAAAGAGCCTGTGTCGCTCACCTTGGTCTATGTGAATATTAAACAGAGGACGCAGATGGATTCATGACAAAATTGTGTTTTGGTGATGGTGATGTGTTTGTACATCTTAATTTACTGAACATTTTTCCTGCTTACAATTATCTCTATCTATAATTAACTTGGCCCAGTAGTTTCAGAGGAGAAGATTTTTGTAAAAGATTACTAAGATTTACGAAAAAATGGTTAAAAATTGACTATAAAGGGCAATAACTCCTAAAGGGGTCAACTGACAATTTCTGTCATGTTGACTTATTTGTAGATCTTACTTTGCCGACATTTATTGTTTTTTACAGTTTATCTCTATCTATAATAATATTCAAGATAATAACCAAAAACAGCAAAATTACCTTAAAATTACCAATTCAGGGGCAGCAACCCAACAACGGGTTGTCCGATTCATCTGAAAATTTCAGGGCAGATAGGTCTTGACCTGATAAACAATTTTACTTCATGTCAGATTTGCTTTAAATGCTTTGGTTTTTGAGTTAAAAGCCAAAAACTGAATTTTACCCCTATGTTCTATTTTTAGCCGTGGTGGCCATCTTGGTTGGTTGACCAGGTCACGCCACACATTTTTAAAACTAAATAACCAAAGGATGATTGTGGCCAAGTTTGGTTTAATTTGGCCACGTAGTTTCAGAGGAGAAGATTTTTGTAAAAGATTACTAAGATTTACGAAAAATTGTTAAAAATTGACTATAAAGGGCAATAACTCCTAAAGGGGTCAACTGACCATTTCAGTCATGTTGACTTATTTGTTAATCTTACTTTGCTGAACATTATTGCTGTTTACAGTTTATCTCTATCTATAATAATATTCAAGATAATAACCAAAAACAGCAAAATTTCCTTAAAATTACCAATTCAGGGGAAGCAACCCAACAACAGGTTGTTCGATTCATCTGAAAATTTCAGGGCAGATAGATCTTGACCTGATAAACAATTTTACTTCATGTCAGATTTGCTCTAAATGCTTTGGTTTTTGAGTTATAAGCCAAAAACTGCATTTTACCCCTATGTTTTATTTTTAGCTGTGGCGGCCATCTTGGTTGGTTGGCCGGGTCACGCCACACATTTTTTAAACTAGATACCCCAATGATGATTGTGGCCAAGTTTGGTTTAATTTGGCTCAGTTGTTTCAGAGGAGAAGATTTTTGTAAAAGATTACTAAGATTTACGAAAAATGGTTAAAAATTGACTATAAAGGGCAATTACTCCTAAAGGGGTCAACTGACCATTTCGGTTATATTGACTTATTTGTAAATCTTACTTTGCTGAACATTATTGCTGTTTACAGTTTATCTCTATCTATAATAATATTCAAGATAATAACCAAAAACAGTAAAATTTCCTTAAAATTACCAATTCAGGGGCAGCAACCCAATAACGGGTTGTCCGATTCATCTGAAAATTTCAGGGCAGATAGATCTTGACCTGATGAACAATTTTACCCCATGTCAGATTTGCTCTTAATGCTTTGGTTTTTGAGTTATAAGCTAAAAACTGCATTTTACCCCTATGTTCTATTTTTAGCCGTGGCGGCCATCTTGGTTGGTTGGCCGGGTCACGCCACACATTTTTTAAACTAGATACCCCAATGATGATCGTGGCCAAGTTTGGTTAAATTTGGCCCAGTAGTTTCAGAGGAGAAGATTTTTGTAAAAGTTTACGGACGCAGGACGACGGACGCAGGACGACGGACGACGGACGCAAAGTGATGAGAAAAGCTCACTTGACCTTTCAGGTCAGGTGAGCTAAAAATGTACATGTAGTTGTAAACAAGGTTTCCAGAAGTAAGCAGCGGGAATTTCTTACGAAATCCATCGCTGAGAATGCTGCATACATTACAAGGCTTAAATATAAGGAACAGGATCCGATTATGCATGCATTGTTTTATGTTTGTAGAAATTTTCTGTCCAATTCAAGTAACAAAGACCAACCCTTGTTTGATGCAGGGCTCAGAAAAGACCATAAATAACTCTTTCATGCACGTTATAATATACGACTATATTGTCTTACATTGTTTACAGTTCTTTTACTAATTTTGTTTTCACTTTGAGAATATTATTTTATAAATATAACGAAAAAAAAATTCGCTGAACTATTGTACATTATTGTTTAGGGGCCAGCTGAAGCCCGCCTCCAGGTGTGGATTCTCTCACTTGTTGAGACCCATTGGTAGGCTTGCAAGGTTGGGTCACAGGTAAATACACATAC